TGTAAAGTGTATGGGGGTGGAAAGGGACCCAGATGTGAGGCATGGGAAAGGGGAAGTGAGAATTGTAAAGTGTATGGGGGTGGAAAGGGACCCAGATATGAGGCATGGGAAAGGGGAAGTGAGAATTGTGAAGTGTATGGGGGTGGAAAGGGACCCAGATGTAAGGCATGGGAAAAGGAAAATGGAAACTGAGAAATATGAAAGGGAAAGATTGAGAATGTGCGATGAATAAGAAATGGGGACCTAGATAAGTCAGAAATCTGAAATAGAAATGGGGAAACCAGACGAGGAGGTGAGAAGTGTGAGAAGGGAAACAAATACAGACGAGAAAGGAAGCAGGATGGAGGAATTGAGAAAGGAGGAATACAAAGTACAAGAAACTGAAGCAGGAGAGAAGGAAGCGAGACCTGGAAAGTGAGCAAACGGAAGAAATTAAGAAAGGGGGTGAGGGAACTGTGACGTGTTGAGAAATGAGAAGACAAATACAAAGTGAGAGAGGAACGGGCAGACAAGGGAGTCGAGAAATGAGGAGGAGAGGAAACACCTCACCCAAGGCCCCTCACACACTCTTCTCTGCAGGGAGGGGCTGGTGGCTGGGCCGTCAATGGGGTGTGGTAGGTGGAGAAGAAGGTGCACATCCTGTGCTGTCTAGATCCTAGCACCAGCCGTCCTGGGTGGTTACTCAGGGCAGGAGCCTGCGGGGACAGAGGCAGGCTGGTGGCCCCTGATAGAAACGCAGAGTCCGCATGCAGTGGACACGGACTAAACAAGGAGCCTAGGGACAGTGGCAAAGGAGCTGATCAGAGAATGTGCAGGGGTCCCCTTGCAGGTCTCAGGGGACGGAGGGAATCCTACTCCAAAACACCAGGGAAGGGGCAAGGCCAGAGTGGTCAGAACAGAGTGGTAAACCTCACTGAACTTCAGCCTTCTCATCCCTCCAGAGCAGTGGTGAGATGCGAGACATGCTGGACCACACAGCCCATAGTGCAGAGTTGATGCTTGGGAATGGCCTCTGGGAACATCCGTGGAGCTGGGTTTTAAGACTTGAGGAGGTCTCCCTTGATTGTTCCTGTCGTGGTCCATCATATCCCTCTTCCCTCCAGCTGTGTGACCCCAGGTTTCTGTCCTAAGCCACGGCCTCTGGATTGTTCTTTCCCAAGCATTCATTTATTTCTGGTACTGTAGATTGTTATTTTCCATTCCTTCTTTCTTTCCTTTCTTTCTTTATTCATTCATTTATTTCTTTTGACAGGGCTTTGCTGTATATTGCAGGATGGCTTTAAGTTCTGGGAGAGTCTGTACCACCATGCCTCCTCATCTTTTCTCCTTTTGATTTTCGTTTGTTTGTTTGTTTGTTTCTTTCTTTCTTTCTAAAAATGGGGATTATTTATTGCTTTTAGCAACCAATAAAATTTTTATTTCTTATTAGTTTTTATTTTTAATTAAAAACAAACAAACAATTACTGGGAAACTAAGATTCTTTCTCTAAGTTTTTAGTCTCATTAATAAAATAATTTAAAAATTGACTCAATGAAATTCAAGGATAATTTTATTAGAATTTGAGAAAAACAACAACAACAACAACCAGTAAAGGCAAGCTGGAGATCTAAGCAGCTGTCAGGAGGGGAAGTAAAAAAAAGTCATGGCTTTTAACTTAGCCACAGAGGTCAGAGAAACACTGAGAAAGCCCTGAACTTGCGTAGGTGTGCCTAGCCGCAGACCTAACTTCAGAGGACGATGAATCCAGGCTCTGTGAAACTGACATGTGAACAGAGAAATGGGGTCTGGAGAGATGGCTCAGCAGTTAAAGGCACTTGCAGCTCTTGTAGAGGACCTGGATTTGGTTTCCAGCACCCACATGGTGTTGACTCACAACTACCCCTAACTCTAGTTCCAGAGGGTCCAATGCCCCCTTCTGGCCTCTGTGGACACTGCATGCAGGTGGGGCACACACACACACACACACACACACACACACAGGCAGATGACACTCATACACATGAATCAAAAAAGGTTTTTGTTTTTTTTTTCTTATGAAAGGAAAAGTGAGGTTGAGAACAGGAGTGGGTTAGTTAGCTGAGGAAAGAGCCCCCAAAGCATGGCCCCTTTAAGAACACCACCTCTGCTGTTTGTAGTGCTGGACCTCTTTTTCTTTTTCTTTTCTTTTCTTTTCTTTTTTCTTTTTTTTGTTTTTTTGAGACAGTGTTTCTCTGTGTAGCTTTGCGCCTTTCCTGAATCTCACTTTGTAGACCAGGCTGGCCTCGAACTCACAGAGATCCACCTGCCTCTGCCTCCCGAGTGCTGGGATTAAAGGCGTGCTCTACCATCGCCCGGCTGCGCTGGACTTCTTAAACGTGTGTTCCACTCCGCTCCTTAGCGGAAGCTGATAAGAAAGGGCTTCCAGCCTTCCTCTGCAGACTGGCTTTTTTAATGAGCTGATCTTGAGGCATCCTATTCTCATTCTCCTGCCACAAAACCCTTTGTAATCATTTGTTCCCAATGAATTTTGGACCTCAAATTTAGAATTTAAGCCACTCAGTAATATGGCTGCAAAGTCCCTTTTAGGAAATTCAGGGCACTGTGGGTCTTTAAGCTCACACGCACTTTATGTTAGGTCTTTCTCGGCATGGCTAGCTTCTAAATAGGTCACCTCCGATGTCCTAAGGATTTAGTCTTCGGTGAGGCCAAGCCTTCCTACCCTGTTCTGAGGAAATTAGGTTGTGTACACAGGATTGGTGATTTCAGGAAAGAGGAAGGACCAGAGCTCACACATGGTGGACATTGTATTCTTTCTGCCCTCTCATTTCCAGTTATCTGGAAGCCCCAAGAGGGCTTCTGGCCAGGATATATATAATATATAGTATATAACATGTAACACGTAACATATAACATAGCATATAATATATAATTCCTCAGGTCTGAAGGTACCCCCAGAACATCTGCAATCACCACACAGTTTTATTTCCCTTTCTAAGCCGATGAGACATTCAAAGAAGGGACTCTGAGCTAGGAAATAAATAAATGATGCTCACTTGAAGACCTGATAGAAGAGGGACCCTCTCACGTTCACAGGACGCTGGGGCCTGCCCACTGAGAGACCACTGCTGTTTGTGTGAGTGGATTAGGCCCCTCTCTCATTACAGTCTCCATCGGTTACCCGGCTTCCAGGGCAGGGTAAAGAACCTACGTCTTCTCTTTCACCTCGAGAAAGCAGAGGAAAATGCTTAGGAGAAAAACAACAACCCACATTGTTTCTTCAGCATTGTGTGTCCTGGCTGTTGTCAGCAGCTGTACTTCTTAGGTGTAGCCTCCGATCTTCAGCACTCGGGCGGTGAACTATTTCATGTTCATCTCTTTTTCCATACCGCACCATGTGAGAGACTTCTAGAACACTCCAGGAACATCCCCCAAACCATCTATCTTTATCTGTAAATTGGGGGTGCTGTTCATGTCATGGGCCTCTTCATGTGAGGACAGATGAAGGAAGTGAAGTGAAGCAGAGTTATGTGATGCCTCAGCAGAGGCTGCAGTGATCATCCCGTGTGTGGTGGAATCGAAATGATGAAACTGAGTCAGCCCAGGGTGGGACGGTCAGGAGACATGAGACTGACTGACTTCTTGTGTTTGCCAGCAGGGTAGCTCAGCCGTGTGTGTGTGTGTGTGTGTGTGTGTGTGTGTGTGTGTGTGTGTGTGTGTGTGTGTGTAGGGGAGATAAAACTTCTCCAGGTTGGAAATGTTACTGATTTATTTATCCACGAATAGGGTTGGTTTACTTTCATGAAAGTCATCAAGGATTCTAACAGGCTTCTGAAGAGCCCTTTGCTTCTGTTATCTGTGGTGGTAACAGCTCAGTGTGACACTGAGGAGGAGAATGGTCTATGTGCCCAGTCTTAAAGGGTAGTTCTTCCTGCAGGGAGCAGGGCTGATGTGCACAGGTTTTCACAGTTCTATGGGCAGCAGGATCCTGGGTGTCCAGGCTTCTAGGAGTTCCTGTAGCCACTTTCAGAAATGAGGCAGGTCTCCCATGTATTGAGGGTCTCTGAGATTCAGGTGTGTTATTGGTATGTAACTACTCTTCTGTGGACGTGTGGCTCTCATGTGGCTTAAACATTTTAACAGAGGTGAAAGCCCGTCTTTCCCTATTCAGAGCTGATGTGCAGACTGCAAATACTATGAGAAGTAACAGGATGGTCACCTCTGATATGACAGGTAGGCTGGAGGGACAGCAGGATAGAGTCTAGAAATTTGGGGAGAACCCTGAACTGAAGGAGATTGAGGGGTCTTGGCAGGGAAGAGCTCTTAGGCCTGAGACAAGCCATGATCCCCTCGTGTTTGCTTGGACCCGTACTGACATTTTCCTGAGGGACCAGTTCTTCATGCGAGGAGACAGCCAGCACTTGGATAATTGTGGGTTACTACTTTTGAAATAGAATTTCAGGAAGTGAAAAGGAGGAAGAGGAGGAGGAAGAGGGGCAGGGAGGGGAGAGGAAGAGGCTGAAGAGGAGGAAACTAATTAAAGAACAAATTTACAATGTAGAATAGTTAATAATATTAAGACGTGAATGTCAGTGTGAGACTTTTATCCTGCTTTCCAGTAATCCTCAGAGTCTAGTGGCTAGCTTTTGGAAGGGGCATTTTAGGGTGGAGGTGCATCCTTCTCTCGAACACATTGGTGTAAGTCACTAGTAGAATTCAGAAGAGTTGGAAAACAGAAAGAATATTGGTGTAATTAATTGAAATCTTTTGGTTAAATATGAAATGACCACTTGTAGATGCATTACTGTCAATAAAGATAATATTCAAAATAGTCCTTATGACCTCGAAGGTAATGTGATAGATCAAAATTATCCTGAGTAAAAGTTATATGGCTCCTTTATTCTCCCAGTGTCCTGTGTTTTTAATTTCAAGTAAACTATTCTTTCTATATATAATGATGAGATTGAAAATTTAAATTTCTCTCTTTTTCCTCTCCCTTCTTTTCTCCTCTTCTTCTGCAACAGGGTTACATGATGGAAAACCGGATCTCAGGCCTGAAATGTGACACCGACGTGTTTGTGACCTTTGAAGGTGACAACGTAGTAATGCTTCAGGTAAGATTCGGGACACGTTTATCCATTTCAAACAGCATGGCTTTCAAGACCAAGCGTTATCCAAAGAATCTGAAGTGTTCTGTACGGTTTATCTTTATCTGAGATCTCCATTTAATCGGCAGATGTTTTCCTGTTCGGCAGCTGAACAGGAGATTGGGTTATTTCTCTTCTAGGTCATCTTTGATGTTGAAATATGTCTTTGTAGTTTCAGAAAACTGCTGGCATGTTCTAACTCAGATGTTTCTACTAGCAAGGCTATTCCAATAGAGTATGTGGGCCCTGGAGAAAAACAAGGGAAAGACAGAATGCTAAGTCACAGAAGGCTGGACTAGTCTGCCTCACTAGTCAACACAAATCCGTATCAGGACACATTGGGACACTGTTCTCTTTTCAAGTTAGCTCATGTCGCAGAGCATGTTGAAGTCTCATTGTTGGAGAAAGAAGGAGAAGGTGTGCTTGTTGCTGTGGGACTATGTGTGGTTCTACCCCAGGACTCTACCCTAATCATCACAAACATGGAAGAAACAAACAATACATTCTCACCACTACATAATTTATGAGAGCAATGAATATCAGCAGCAAAATGATTATGTAAATCATACTCTGACCACTCCACAGGGAATTATATATCACCTTTAAAATTGTGCTTGCAAGCAGTTCTGCTTCTAACAGAAGTTTAAAACTTGTGCTAAGTAAAATGTTATAAAATTGCATACAGGATATAGTGGTTGTGTTTTTAAAAGAGAATAATGGATGCTGGTTGAGTCAGTGAGTAAAATCCTTGCTGGACAATCATGGAGACTCAAGTTCAGAGCCCCAGAACCCATACAAAAAGCTGGGCAGGTGTGACAGCTGCCTGTAACCCCAGCACACGGGAGGCAGAGATAGGGCCGCCACGGGACAAGCAGGGTCGCTAAACTAGACAAAATGGAGAGCTCTGGGTTAAGTGAAAGACC